TGTATCCACTAAAGTGCAGTAGTATTTCACACACATGATCATTTGTATGTCAAATAGGTGTAGCAAAGAATTTCAGTGATAGTGGTGTTCTAGTAGAATTATATACCAGAACCTAGGCAACTATCATAATGTCCACAACAGTAACGATTTAACCCTCGGCGCGCATGCGCAGCGAGGGTTACCGTAGTTGGGGTTTGTCCGTGTGTCTGTTACTCTCAATCTCACTTCTCGGGTGTTTGTTCGTCTCACAAAGGATACGACCTACTTAACGGGCAATGAAGGTCAGAATTTCGAACGGTTTTCTCTTAAACTACTCGGTTGCAAAGCTAAAGCGCGAAATGGCTTACCACAGTCGGATCGATCCGCGTGCTCTGCGTACTTCGGAGGCACCGGAAGATGCAACGCAGGGCGTGAATCGCCTCTCGCATGCTATCTAGCAGTGTAGTTAGCCCGCGTCAGACTCTGCGCGAGCTGGGAAGAGACCACCAGTGACAGCTAAAACTAAACCCAGACCATAAATTAGTGGTACGGCGCATGCGTTTACTTACGCGTGCGCGTCACTGGGCGCCGCACTTCAGTGCTTTTCATTGGTTCTGTCTCTGATGGGTTTCCCTGTCTTATGTGGTACTACGACCAGCCTTGAGCATGACTACCACCATCTGCTTAACTCATCTCCCTCCCGACTCTGACTGAGTCTGACAAATCTCCACTTGTATACACTATTATCCGCCATTGATTACGTAATGAGTTAGAGTCTACATTGAGGGATGCTACACTAACTCTCATACTCTTTCCCCTATATATAGTAGTGAGGCTGGCCGAGACATCCTACACTATAGGAGAGTCAGATGAAGTGGTTGAGGTGTGCATCAATGCAGTTGGTACCACTTCTTCGTGCCCCAGCACCGAGTCTTTCCATGTCACCCTTTCAACTAGCGACCAAACTGCAGGTAACTACGAAACATTGAAGACCCTATGAGAACCACCCATTGATAATGACTAGACAAAGATATAGAGATGGTGTCATAATTATAGCTTTGTGGTCTTTGCTGTGCAATGACCCCTTGATTCTTCCTGTTTGGTGCTTCAAGCTATCCCTTATACCCCTTCCAATGACTTTTCCACTTGCATGCTGGCTACCAGATCAACCAAAGATTTCTCTATGCAGAGAGTCCCGCAGACTATGTGGCAGTGGAAGAGGTGCTGACGTTTGCTGCCTGTGAGAGCCAGCGTTGTGTGAATGTGAGGCTGGCCAATGACCTGGTCAATGAACCGGAGGAGACCTTCTCTCTCAGTCTCACACGGTCCACCAGATATCACATCTCCATCACCTCCACCACTGGAGTGGTGGTTATCACCGATGATGATGGTGTGAAATACCTACCTTTGGTCTTCTTTTTTCTGTCTTTACTTTTTTCCGACGCTCTCTTTGATTTCCCCTTTAGCTTTTCTGTCATTGTCTTGATATTCTCATGTGTTCTGTGTTTTCTGCCACAACAAACACTGTGTGCGATATAGATAATATTGTGAGAAGGGAAAACATTTCTACGTGTATGAATGTCTTATGTAGGCACTGGCACGGATAGCTTTCCTCACCAGGTATGACTGATGCTAATATTGTCATCCCCACAGATAGACCTGCTGGGGTCAGTTTCCTCCCAGTGAACGCCACAGGAGTGAGGATCTCCTGGAGTGGTAGTGTCCACCTTCCCACCTCCATCCACTACACCGTCTCTCTCTCCACCACCGGCATCATCATTAGCCAATACAACAAGGTCTACCCACCAGGAACCACCTCCGATGTCGTGGTTTTGGATGATGACATCACTCTTACCAATGCATATGTGCATAACTTCACTTTGTATTACATCATAAGAAATGATGTCACGCTTGTCCCAGGACCTCCAACCAATGCACCCTTCGCTTTTGGTATGCAACCACGCACCTTACCACACACATTTCACATTTTCAACTCTTGTGTTTCACAGATAAAACGTCTTTTCAAATTCAGTTTGGACCTTTTCAATACTGTCTGGACTGGGGAGTAAGCTGTATCATTTGTTTCGTCACTAATACACAATGTTAATTTTTTGCAGTTGAAGAAAATTGCTCGTATTATTGAGAAACAGCTCCAGGCTTACTTGATTCAGATAATTCGTGAAGCTTGCAGTGACTGCTACAAATTAACCCCTTCTTTCCTGAGACCAGGACTGTTTCTCTGTCACAGTAACCCCACCAATACCACCTTCCGCTCCACCCTCGTTAACCCTTTCCCCACCACAAACTCATAAACCCACCTGGGTGGGCATTATTCAGAGTTGGGTGTCCACGAGTCCGTCCCTCGTTCTAGACGGTCTGCTGGTGAGGGTGAGTCCGGCCTGCCCCACTTCTATCTCCAGTCTCGATGAAGAAGAGTGTGAGACTGGTACCTGAGGAACCTTGGAGAAGAAGTCTGCAGGCTCGGTGGCTGCTGAGTTGTGGACACATACTAATAATAACAGCTAGTTATAGTTTACTTGCTATGTATTGTTTGGGACTCAAATACGATCTATAACTAGGTAGCCAGCATCAAAGTGTATATAATTATATGCAAGTTTGTATCTAGAAACGTATGTGGTCTCTCACACAACGACATTGCACATATGCAGCATCAAGTTAATGGTGAGGAAGAGAGAGAAAGAGAGAGGGGCTCGTGTGATACCATGAGGGGTTATTCAGAGATTCCAGCCAGTCCAAATACGGCAATATGGATGGTAAAACAGTATCGACTGTGGCTCCTGCGTGTGCCACTTGCAGCTACTCTTTTTTAACAGACACTAAACAAGATATCAGGCAGTGGCATTCTGCTTATACTTAGTTCACTTTGTGTTACTCAGCCCGCAAAAGTAGGGTAGCCAGCTAGTTTGCGCACTTCAGTTCTCCGATCGTGACAGTGGTATAGTACATCGAAAGTGTTGTTCCTTGATCCGTAAGGCAGTGTTTCTCTTTACTTTTGCAAAGAGCAACTCGAATGAGTGCACTATGAAGTGGTTGTAACCACAATAGTCACCAGTTGGTGGGATATTGCAGACCTAAGCAGGATACCACTGTTATGTCGTAAAAGCTGCCTCATCAGTTACGAATGTAGCTACAAACCACTTACATTAATGTAGTGGGCTACAAAATAAGGAAGATCCCCCTCTCTGGTGTACAATTGAGTACACCAATATGAACTGCTCTCTTTGTATGAAGTGACTGTTCTTGTAGATGACAGCTCAACAAGAAAAGGGAACATGTAATGTTAATTGTCTCTCTTGGCCACCATAACTTCCTGGTTGTGTGATACTCTTGTGTGTGCAATGCCGAGCTTTTGTCGGCATTGCAGTGTAGAGTTGTTGCCCTGTTATGCAACTTTCGCAGAGAAATGTTGCAGAAATTTATTGTGGTAGCTGCAGCCGTGGCACTTCTCCCCATGCAAGGAGGTAACTTCAGTGCAATGTTCTCGCGCATTGTATGTAGCTTGAGCCTCCGTACCCAGCTGTGTGTCTTTTCCCTGTCAATCCTCTCTGGGTTTACACCCACGAGTGGAGCTACCTGTTCAGGCCAGTGGACGAGAAGGAGGTACAGTATAATAGGACAAACGCTAATTTCTCGCTCTCTCTCTTGATCTCTCTTGATTTAGGTTATCTTCACGTTCTGTGTTCGTTCTTTATACACACTCCTTTCTTTCAGACAACATGACCAATTCCTCCCCGGTAATTTTCAAGTATATATAGCAAAATTGAGATCTCTCTTTCCTGCTTATATAGCACTTTACTCCCTCTTTCCCCATTCCAATTGTTATTAGTATCATCTCTCCTCCTCCCCTCCCTTCTCCCCCTCCCGCTCCCTCAGGTATCATCCTAGGGTCCACAATTTGATGACGGTAAACCAGCTGTGGTGCTGGATCCTGTCGTCATCCAGGAATTAGAGCAGAATGTCTATGACAGCTACCAGTACTACCGCAAGAGCAAAGGCTACATCTGAAACATGCGTCCACAAACACCTCGCTAACTATTATCACACAATTTGAATTATAATAGTGAAG